GGGGGGGATAAGTGAAGCATCGGGCGTGAGCGTGAGCTCGAGCTCCATGCATGTACGCGTCCGCATGCGCCTCTCGGTCTGGTCTCCCGCACTCTTGACTCACAGTGGCAGTCTATCGACGCAGGAAGGGTGGAGATGCAAGAGACAAGAAGCATTAGGGCGCGCGCGCGCTCGCACACTGGCATGACTGACCCACATCGCTGGCAAGTCCTGGTCAGGACCACACTCACCTGACCGAACGACATGATGTGTGGCAAGGGCAGAGGGTGAAGAAGCAGAGTGAGGTGGGGATGGAGATGGAGCTTGATGTGTACGAGATACGACGTGAGGGTGGATGCTACGTGTATGGGTGATGGATGGTGGTCAAGAAGACTGTTGAGCGCTGGCACCAGCAGCGCACACGCGTATACACGCAAGTCGTGCAAAAGTTGCGAGCGTTGCGCAACCTGTGAGGTCTTCTTCTGACGAGATCGGCGCGCGCACGTATGAGCCGGGTGTGGCGTCACAGGGTTTGCTTGAACGTGTGCGTGTTGCTGGCTGCATGGCATGGCGTGGCATGGCTTGTGCGCATGATGTGATCGGCGTGGCCGGCGCGCTTGCCGCGGTGGAGGCAAGCAAGGCGTGCAGGCGTGCAGTGCAGTGCAACAGGGAGGTGCGTGCGTAAGCGTGGAGGCATCACGTCATGCAGATAGATGCAATCGTGAATCAAGTCCAAGTCTCGCGACGACATTCGATGGCAACACGTGACGTGACGCGCCACAGGTATGCGCTTTTGTGCATGCATGAGAATCACGCCGATCGGCAGGCAGTTGGCATGCACAGCGGCAGGCTGGCGGGTGCATGGGGTGAACCCTGCGAGTGCACGGTGCATCGCTGTGGTGTGAGAGTGTGTTGGCCGAGCGAGCAAGCTCCACATCCAACGCTTGAATCACAATCAAGTGATGCGACAAATAACGCGACCAAAAGAGCCGGCGGCAAGAAATCGAAATCACGAATCACTGAATTTGAATATGGATTTGAATTCTAACTTAAACTTAACCTTGACTTGAATTTGAATCTCGAATCAAATGCGAATCAATAGCCGACAGGCATGCACGCTTAGCTGAATCGCTGCTGCTGGGTAGGGTGCTCCACCGCGCACCGCGCACCGCGTACCGCGTACCGCCTACGGGGCTCAGACCTGCTGGTTGCCAATTCCATGATTCAAGACATGATTCACATTGTGATTCATGGATTTGAATGGCTGCATTGGTCGAATGACGAATGACAGCTCTGTTGATTGTCCAGACGCAACCATCATCACGCATCACGCATCACGCATCACCCATCACCCATCACCCATCACGCAAACACGAACACACACCCGTAAAAGCCAGCCAGCCAGCAGCAGCACAGTGCCGCGCCGCCCTCCACCACACGCTGGATCGAGCGCAATCATGAGCAACGCAGCTCCTGCCAAATCCAAACACGATGATGATGATGATGCCAGCAGCACCATAACGCTAGCCGACTACATCCTACACCGCCGTAAGTTGCCACACGTCGCGGGGGGGTGAAGCGTGAAGCGTGTCTTTCTTTTCTTGTTCCCCTCAACCCCTTGCCCTCGCCATTCGCTCACTTGCTCCCCATCCCCCATCCCTTCCTCCGCCCACACCACACCACACCACACCACAGTCAGCTCTCTGGGATGCAGCTCGATACAAGGAGTGCCGGGCGACTTTAGCATGCCTTTTTTGGATGCTGTTTCGCAGCATGCTTCTTTCGAGTGGGTTGGTAATACGAACGAATTGAATGCTGCTTATAGTGCGGATGGATATGCTCGGTGTGCACAGATCGAGTCGAGATGTAGCGATGAGGGGCAGGCAGCGGGAGGGGGAGGTGTTGAGCAGGAGCAGGAAGAGGAAGAGGAGGAGGAGAGCAAGTTGAGAGCGGCAACATGCACACCTTTGGAGCCGACCAGCGGACGAGAAAAGAGTTCGAGTCGCAGTCCGAATAGAAGACCGCGAGGGAGCAAGATTGCCGCACTGTGCACCACGTTTGGCGTGGGCGAATTGTCGGCGCTCAACGGCATTGCCGGCTCTTACGCCGAGAGATTGCCCGTGCTGCACATCGTCGGCGTACCCTCGACGCAAGCGCAGTCCAACAGGGCCCTGCTGCACCACACGCTGGGCGATGGCGACTTTGCAGCTTTTTCGCAAATGTCCAAACACGTATCTTGCGCCGCGGTGCATTTGGGAGAGCTGCTCATTGGAGAGGCACAAGAAGAGGCGGGAGATGTGGAGTCAGAGTGCAGCAGCAGAGGCAAGATGCTTGCAAAGGAGGTGGATGCGTTGTTGGGTAGGGTGGTGAGGGAAGCCAGACCGGGTTACTTGGCCCTACCCACCGACCTGGTGCATCTGCCCATCCCCACCTCGCTTCTTCGCGCACCCCTCAACACATCCCACGCGCCCAATGAGGAAAAGGTGGAAGCGGAAGTGTTGCGAGAAATCTTCAAGAGGTTGGATGAGAGCAGCGATCCCCTGATCATTGTGGACGCGTGCACCATACGTCATGCGGCCATCAATGCCACGCTGGACCTGGTGCATCGCAGCGGCTGCACCTTTGTCAGCACGCCCATGGGCAAGTCCGCCTTGCCAGAATCATCGCCTCAGTACGCCGGCACGTTTATAGGTCCCAACTCTGAAGCCGCTGTGCTCAAAAGGGTGCAGAAATCAGACTGCTACTTGTTCGTGGGTGCGCTCAGAAGCGACTTTAATACCGCCAGCTCCTTCAACAACTTGACGGATCAGGCCAAGACGATTGAACTGCACAGCAATAGGACGGTGCTGGGACATGCAGTGTATCCGCGCATATCCATGCACGCCCTGCTCCCTCGTCTAGCCGATCATCTATCTCCTCGAGCCAACGAATTGCGCGCATTGTACGGTCTAACGCAGCAAGAGAGACCTAGCAATAGGCTTCCTAGCAAACTGCAAGAAGGCGAAATGGCGGGACGGGAGGGAGAGAATATAAGCCAAATGTGGCTTTGGAAACGCATCGGTTCGTTTTTGAAAGAGGCGGATCAAGTCGTTGCGGAGACCGGAACTAGCAGCTTTGGCATTCTGGATACGCACTTGCCTGGTGGGCGAACGCGACTTCACAGTCAGGTGAGTGGCCAAACCATCCTTTCCCCCCCTCCTCCTGCGCCCACCTAGCCATGCGTCTGCCCACCCCTCTTTCCTCTGCATCAGAGAATTGACCCGAAGTGACCTCTCTTTTTGTTTTTTCTCTTTCTCTTCTTTTGGACCGTTGGCAGGTCTTGTGGGGCTCCATAGGCTGGTCTTTGCCCGCCACGCTAGGCGTATCTCTAGCCGCGAGGGAGCTTCATCTAGGTCGCACGCTGCTCTTCATCGGCGACGGTTCGCTGCAACTGACAGCGACAGAGATCAGCACCATGATTCGATTAGACTTGCATCCCATCCTTTTCGTTTTGCGCAACGATGGCTACGAGATAGAGAGGCAGATAGAAGGTCCGGATCAGCCTTACAACAATGTGCCTAGTTGGAACAATGAGAAATTGTTGCAGGCGATGTACGATCCCAATGTTGGGCAGAGCATGGGGGGAAAGGAAAAAGAGGCGCAAAAGAGCCATGCGCACGATAAGCAGGTGTCTTTGCCCAGATACTTTGCAGTCAAGAGCAAAAAGGAACTGGACGACTTGCTGAAGGATGAGGAGTTTGCTAGTTGCAAAGTGAGTGTTCCGCGGGGGTTATCGTCGAATGTCGCCACTGTCGAGTGCCGGATAAAAATCAAGCCAGCGAGTCATTCTTTTTGCGAAAAAGAAAGCGCCCCGCCAAGCTCGTTCTGTTGCCCCCCGCACTCTTCTTACCCTTTCTCTTATTTTTGCGCCTCCTAATCTCCCCCCTGCCATTTGTAGCGCTTGCAATTGGTAGAGATCTTTATGCGCCGAGGCGATGGTAAGTTAGCTTCAGCGCTTGCGACGTGCAAGTTCGACCTCTCGCTGATTTCCTTTACGCTCATCCCGTAGCTCCAAGAGCTCTAGTCGCTCAAGCCCAAGCTTCAGCAAAGCTCAATTCGTAGAGGTCAGTCGCACCTCTCTATACGCACGTGGTGTGCAACACCCACACGCGCACACACATCTCAAAAGGATCGCAATGCAAGCTGGTCAGGTACATTTCAATGAGCGCCTTGTTGACAAACATGAAAAGAGTTTGACGTGGGCCGAAGCTACGTTGGAGCTGTTGTGGACAGCGCAAATACTCTTGGTGGCGTGTGACGTGATTCGGGAAAGATGGAGCTTGATAGATCATGGTCACGAAGGT